TATTAAGTACTCATTTGATTCTAATAAGCATGCAAATAGTCAAGGGTTTCTTTAGGCCAATACCACACTACTCAGATTGTGGTGCCATTAAATACATACAATGATCTTTGCCTGTAGCACATTTTTCACAGAAAAAAAACAGCTCCTTTTGGTAGAATTTTGCTCCTTTATTTTCCTGGTGTGTCATGCCAGGGGATCATTACAACTATAAAATAAAAATTATTTCATTTTTTCAATTTAAGCACAGTTGACACCACATAGGGTTGAGAGAATCAGACTTGGATTCGGAGGCATTTTCCAACGTTCTTGTTAAAGATCACTGTGTTTTAGTGCCCAAATTAATGTAAGATCCTAGTGGTGAGCTATTAACTCAGTCTTCTCATCTCTTGCACACAGTTTTCCAACTCGGAGTGTGTGTCTCTTGCATGTGTGTTTTTACTGTACCGCACTATTGTTTAATTACAAGACAATTGCCTCAACTGAGCCAGCATTATCATCCTTGATAATGCTGGTAGCAGGCAACTGAGACAAAATGATTCCAAACCTATGTTGTGTTCAATAGTTCTTTAGAGGATTTCTCTCTTCATAGTTCTGGCTCATTCATGTTTGATTCAGCACATTTGTTCTTTAAAAAAGGCATAGCTTAGAAGAGTTTCAGGGTGGGTTAATAACTCAACTGAAAATGGCTGCTCGCATTGTAAAAGCTTGTTCCTGCAGTTGCTTGAGGCTTTCTTCAGTTTTGCCGCTCTGCAGCTTCGGCCCAGTTGGTAAACAGCTTAAGTCCAGACATCTTTTCATTCTCTGAGCAGCGGATTGAAGTAAAAATGCATATAAGTGGCGACTGACTGGCGCTGGCCTAACAATAGCCTGTAACATTATGCAAGGGTATTTACATAGGAATAAGGCCTTACTAAAAGAGATGGGGCAATTAATGATGTGGGCCACACATATAAGGAAAGTTTGTCCAATCCTTTCCTCAATAAAGATCTTTTGTAAAGTGCTATGGAAACTCATAGGGGCCTCAAAGAGATTAAGGGTGGGACTCTTCTAGGACTTTCAAATATATATATGTGTGTGTGTGTGTGTGTGTGTGTGTGTGTGTGTGTGTATAATCTTTAAAAAGCTAAATGGTATTAAATAAATGCTCAGGAAAGAATATGAATTCCTTGTTTTGTTCCGATCGTTTTAGATGGTTTCTCCAACCCTGTAAAGGAAAGCAGTTCAGGCCGGTTGCAGTGGCTCACGCCCTTAATCCCAGCACTTTGGGAGGCTGAGGCAGATGGATCACAAGTTCAGGAGTTCAAGATTAGCCTGGCTAAGATGTTGAAACCCTGTCTCTACTAAAAATACAAAAATTAGTCGGGCATGGTGGTGGGCACTTGTAATCCCCGCTACTCGGGAGGCTGAGGCAGAGAACTGCTTGAACCCAGGAAGTGGAGGTTACAGTGAGCCAAGATCGCGCCACTGCACTCCAGCCTGAGTGACAGAGCAAGACTCCGTCTCAAAAAAATAAATAAGGCAGTTCATATTTTCAGTTCTCTTATCTTCCTTTTCCATTTTTGGTGATGTTTACTGAAGAGAGAATCGTTCTGAGATAGACAAGTTCTTGAGTTACCTTCCTTCCCTGTTTGAAATTGAAGCACCATTTAAAAAATATTTGAAAAGTTTTGCTGTCCTTATTTCAAGTCATGTTTATGAGTGGGAGAAAAAAATTGTCTGGTGGTGTGGGCTAAGGGGAAAGTCCCAGGGCTTGCACAATGAAATGAACAGCCACCAAAACAGGAAGGGATCTGAAAGCAAAGTCAGGGTTGTGTCCTAGGAAAATGTGAAAACATTGATGAAAACCTAGCCCTTTTTTGGGATATATATCTTAATAGAATAAATATCTTAAGTCCAGATAAAAGTTAAAAAGTCAAATGCTTAAATTATTTCCAACGAATACTGTCCCAATACTATCGCCAATGATTTTGTTTTTTGCGGGAGGGGGGCCCGGGGTGGGAGTGGGAAGAGTGGGAAGTCCTCCTCATTCCACCCCCACCCTGAGCTCCCCAATCGCAGCGGTGAAAGACAAATCTGGGGTAGGTCTTTCACATGGTTTCATTCTTATTAAAGCCTCCCCATCTGCTTCTCCCCTTCGCCAGATAGCATTACTGTTTTTATTTCTTTGATGAGAATATTTTTGATAAAGTATCATCAGCATTTAAAAAACAAGAGACAGAAGAATATTACTCTTTGGATAATCCAATCCCTATTTATGTGTTTTGTGACCAATTAGAACAGCTACTATGCATGGTAGGCAAAACCCTTCAGCTTCTTTCTTTTTAAATGTTATATCTCACTCAGAGGACATTTTCGAAGAAAGCAGAACTTTGGCAGGGAGTGCTCGAGCTCTGTTTGCACTTTTCTAGTGAACCGGATGTTACTTCCAAAGTTGTTTTTCATCCCATTTCCTCATTTATAGCTGGTTCATGAAATTCATGTCCATATGAGATCAGGGAAATAAAATCTGAATGTGATAACGCATAAGCTTCGGGTGCCCGTGTGCGTGTGTGTGTGTGTGTGGGGAGGGGGGTGTGTGGTGTACAGAGAAAGTGATTTCAGCTGCAGCCCTGTCAAGCAGGCAAAAATCAATGCCTCATTCAGGACTATTGATCAGTACTAAATTAATTAGACTCCAAGGCTTATGGCAGTTGATAAGACAACTTGTTAATTTAGTCAATGATAGTGTTTTCCCTAAAGCAGCAAATACCCTCTTCTTTAGAAAAGGCATTTCTCATAGTTGCTGCCAGTTCTTTTTCATTGTTTTCATCTTTCTGGTTTTCTTTTCTTTTTCTGGGAAAGGGGTAGTAAGGAGGTGGTGGGTTTGTGTGGGAAGGAGGGTGTTGGGGGAGCTCAGTGGGCAAGGGAGTGCCGTAAAAATGCAGATGCTGAGGCGTCAGTGTCGGTGTGGAATATGCGTTAGCCCACTTCCATTTTGGTTCCCTTGCCTAACACTGTAGTTTTAGGACGAAAAGAATGCAGCAGCCAGGTTATAAGCCGAGACCTTGATTTCCTGTAGGGCTTTGGCCACGTAAGGCCACTCCAGCCCTACAAGGATGTTCATTTGGAAGGGGGCTACTTCCTAAACCTTCATTTAGAATTGACTGATACAGATTGCTTTTGCCTTTCATTGAAACCGGCAACAGTGATGGTCATAGTCAATAACAAAGACTTCAGCCCCTGTCGGTAACGCAAACTGTGAATGGAATGAAGGTATCCCAGAATGCCCTGAACATGGGGCAGTACTTCCTGCTGGCTTAGAAGGACAAAAGGACAAAGCCCGGGAGTGTAGGGGTCCCACCAACAGCTCTTGGAGGCAACCGCCTGCCATCAGCAGCACTCCGACCCTCTGAGAATGCTAATAAGCTAGTGAAGAGCTCAGCTTTCTTGCCATAATTCTATAGCGTGGTCGAGGACCCCATAGTGCTCACTAAATAAAGACAACTAATTGAGAATTTTTTGCACATTTTGCCCAGGGGACTTGTTGTTCATTCGATTCTTTGGGGAGAATGTACCCCTACTGACAAGAGGAGCTGATTGTTTTGGCAGCCTCATGTTACTCTTCCCCGGGTCTAAGACTGACTTTCAAAGTATGACAAAAATGTTTGATTTTGATTTTTTTAATTACGTTGCTGGGAATTATTTTAGATCTCGAAGAATAGGCGTTCTAGTGTTCATCTTAAAAAAAAAAAAAAAAAAAAAAAAAATCCTGGCAGAGTTTTTTGTATTAAAGCCCCATTTTTTTCCTTTTTTTTTTTTTTTTTCTTAAATTGTATTTTCTGTGGTGAGGCCTACATTTTTGTGTCTGCAGGTGACACGTTGATTGAAACTAAAATTAATAAATCAGCTGAAAAGCTCACACCTACAGCTCACAGCAGGGCCTGGAAAACACATTTATAAAGGGAGCTTTATGCCCTCATATAAAGAAGGAATAAATTACAGAAGCACTTGTTGCCCTGGGACTTGGTTTTGCTTTGCAATCTGGTATCTTATTTTTTTTGGAGGCTTATTGTTAATCAACAGGTTCCTGGTTGCTTTAGCAGGTGACTTTGCTATTAATCTCTTATTTGACCATTATAGCATATTAATGAGGAGGCTTCTAGATGTGGCTCTGTCTCCTGACCAAGGAATTAGTTTAAAAGGTGCACTTTTTACTCAATGGCTTGCAGTTAGCCACGTTGAGGACCAAATGCAAAGTAGCATTTTCTGCAGCTTGTATAGTATTAAGGAGTGTTTTACTACCATATGTGTCTTACTGTGCTTTTCTTCTCTCCTACACTTATTTCTTCACCATGGAGGGCAATTATGGAACTTACCAGTCTCTGTTCATTTTTTTTTAACAAAATAGAATTACATGTAAATGACAAAATGATATCCTTTCTTATTAACGTGCACTCTTATTTTAATTAAACAATGTCAATGTTCTTTGGAGGTGTGTTCTGAATTAAAATGTATGATTTGGGAAGGCAAGAGGCTCAACAGTTCTCACCAGAACTAGATTAATAAATGTCATCACTAGTGCAGGAATTTAACCATCACGTTTCCCTTTAGAGGCTGAGGTAATTGGAAATGTTTAAGTTTGACAAAAGAAAGAAGTAAATATACCTATAGGGGTAGTTTAGAAATATAAAGAAGGACTGAGAATTTAAGTCTTAAATTTGTAATTACAAGGATATCTGAAGCACATAATGGTGCAAAGGGGCTGAGACAGCCCCAGATAGGAGAACAACTGCTTTGTCCCCAGTCTGCAGAGATTTCAAAGAACATCCTCTGGCCCCAAATTATGATTATTATTCATTTCTTTTCAAATCTTCAAGACAATTTGGTTCACACCTCAAATATCCATGCTGTCTTCCTTCTAAACCTAAGAAATTTCAAGTCTGTGTCTTTCTTATTTTTAACTTAACAAAATTAAGGGTTTCTGCCAACTGGGGTACATTTGATATCACTGCCTATCTTACCTTTCAGACTAAGTCCTGAAGTATCTTCATTCTGGGGGGGGAAGATCAACATCGTCATCTCTTTCATTAAGAAATTTTCTGGTTAAGTTTCATGAGGAAGGCAAGTTAGAGCTATTAGTGAAAAAAGCTGAATGTTAATCACAAGAATGCATGAGTGTGGACATTAACAGGACTTTCACACTTGCCATTATTTTTGAAACATGTCTTTAAAAATACATATCAACAAAAAATTATCGGGGTTATCCTAGGGCTGTAATATTAGGCCACTCTCATAGATGAGGGCAACTGGAAATACTACTGTCCCCTTAAAAGGGTTATCCAAGTAACCAGCTTCACCACTGGAATTACTCTACCAAGGTGACCATTTCATAAGAAGCAGAGGGACCCTTATCTGCTCCAAAACAACATTGTTACCTGGAATCTGTTTCCTCATTCTAGATGTATTTGTTTGGGCCAAAAAGCTAAAAGACTTTGGCGAGGGTTGCTGCTGCCCACCTCCAACAACCCCCGCCCCCCCCCCCCCCAACACACACAAATAGTTGACTGAAGCCTTGTTTATCTTTTAAAACTGGGGAAGAAAAAATACTTTTCTGCACTGCACCATAACAAAACTTATGCTCCAGTGACACAAAATTGACAGCTTTAAGTCTTTATGTACCTGTGGCAAGCCTGTAATCCCAGCTGCTCTGGAGGCTGAGGCACGAGAATCGCTCCAACCTGGGAGGTGGAGGCTTCAGTGAGCCAAGATTGTGCTACTGCACTTCAGCCTGGGCAACAGAGACTCCGTCTAAACACACACACACACACACACACACACACACACACACCCCTTACATTAAAAGAAATTGAGGAAGTGGCTAGTGCATTCTAAGAACAGTCAGGTTAATTTTTTTTTTAATACTTGTACTACAAATTCTTAGAAAACAAGTTTGTACCAGAGTATTGGAGTCTGCGGCTGCTGTAGCATGTGTTTACAATGAAGGATAGTTACTGTTAGAGAACTTTCCCCTCCCCCAGTTCTCCCTCAAGTACTTCCAGCCAGGGAGGTTTTCAGCCCTTTTTGTCTTTTACAACTTAAGCAACATCAGACACATTTCTGCAATGCATATGCAGATTTTTACCTCTTGTTACTTTCTCTAATGAGCGTTCACTTAATCAATTTGACAGTAGCCTTTATCCCCCAGGCCCCTTCCCCCCGCTTTTTTCCACATCTACTAAGAAAGTTTTTAGGGAAAAAAACAAGTGTTAACAGATTCAAGGGGGCATTAGCGACGTGAAATGGTAGCTGGCCTAAGTGGGGTGACTCATGAGGCTTCTACCACTGGTTCTGTCCAGCTTCTGAAAAGAGGAAGCTGGTCTGCCAAGCTTATGAGGTAGCATGTATTTTTATTGCCAGTAGAAAATGATTTTCCTTTTCAAGAATTCAAAATGATGTTTTTTGTTTGTTTGAGACAGGGTCTCACTCTCTCACCCAGGCTGGCATGCAGTGGTGTGATCTCGGCTCACTGCAATCTTCGTCTCCTGGGCTTCGGCGATTCTCCCATCTGAGCCTCCCGAGTAAATGAGACCACAGTTGCATCCAACCAAGTCTAGCTAATTCTTGTGGATTTTTGTTGTTGTTGTTGTTGTTTGTTTCTTTTTTGTAGAGACTGGGTTTTGCCATGTTGCCCAGACTGGTCTGGAACTCCTGAGTAATCTGCCTTCGTTGGCCTCTCAAAGTGCTGGGATTACAGGCGTGAGCCACCATGCCTGGCTGATTGTTACAAATTAACCACACTTGAGTACATTTTTCATAGCCCCATATCTTTATCTTGCCAAGAGCACTTTTAAAAATTTTATCCAAGAGACAATCTTGCTATGAGACACCAGGAACTGACTCACATTGGCATTCTCCCACGAAATTGCCCAGCAGGGCATCCTAGATCACCTGAGCAGTCTTGACTTTGTTCATTGCCTTTCCTGCCTGGAGGTGAGAAGCGCAGGGGCAGAGGGCAGGTGGGCTTAAATCTAATGTTGTTCAATCTTCCTAGCCAATGGGTGATGATACCCAAATCCTGGGAGTGCGCCCTCTCTCTTTCTTCTCTGTCTCTCTCTCTTCTCTCTGTCTCTCTCTCCTCTCTTTCTCTGTCTCTTCTCTCTCTGTCTTCTTTTTCTCTCTCTCCCTCTCTATCTTCTCTCTGTCTCTGTCTCTCTCTCGTCTGTCTCTGTCTCTTTTGAGATAGGGTCTCGCTCTGTTGTCCAGGCTGGAGTGCAATGGCACAATCATAGCTCACTGCAGCCTCATCTCCTGGGCTCAAGTGAGCCTCCCATCTCAGCCTCCCAAGTAGCTGGGACTACAGGAATGTACTAGCACTCGTGTTGTTGTTGTTGTTGTTGTTGTTGTTGTTTAGTGGAGATGAGGTCTCACTGTCTTGCCCAGGCTGGTCTCCAACTCTTGAGCTCAAGCAATCCTCCTGCCTCAGCCTCCATAAGTGCTGGGATTACAGGTGTGAGCCATGGTGCCCAGTCTTTTTTTTTTTTTTTTTTTTAGAGCTGGGTGTCTCACCATGTTGCCCAGGCTGCTCTCTAATTCCTGGACTCAACTGATCCTCTTGCCTCAGCCTCCCAAGTAGCTGGGATTACAGGAATGAGCCACCATGCCCAGCCTCAAATCATGGGGGTTCTTAATCATATTCTGAACTCAACATCAACCTGAATCTGCTCCTGGGTGATAATAAGATCACATATGGCACAGCTGCTGGGATTTAGCAGGCTTTCAAGAAACAAAGACAAAGACAAAGTGAGTTCTGCCCTTCTCTTGTCTCCAGCCAGATAAAGTTTTCAGCCCTGGTGGGTAGAAGCAGCATCAAGGAAGCTTGCTCAACCCCTCCTCTGGCCCCTCCAGCGAATGTGTGTCCTTAGCCTTAGCCAGTTTTACAGCTCACTCACTTGACTCTCTTTCACTTTATCAAAGCCAGGAAAGTACCTCTAGCCAAAGAAAAGGAGGAGAAGGCCCCCACTGACTCCTGCTCCACCCCGGTTCTGTGCTGGAGCCGTTCAGTTTTGCCTTTCCTGATGACTCACCCGCTGTCTCCCTGACTTCCATCCAATAGGCCCTACTGCCAGCCAATTGTTCACCTTCTAGGTTCAAACGGAGAGAAACTTGGTTTTAAGACAATCGGGGTCTGGTCTGTATTCAGAGGTTATCACTTAGGTTTGTTAGGTCTCTTACAGCTCTTTTTTCTTTTCCCATCTTATCATTCACTTAGGAGATGGAGTTTCACACTGTCGCCCAGGCTGGAGTGTAACGGGGTGATCTCCGTTCACTGCAACCTCCGTCTCCCAGGTTCAAGTGATTGTCCTGCCTCATCAGCCTCCCGAGAAGCGGGATTACAGGAGCCCGTGACCACGCCCAGCTAATTTTTTTGTATTTGTAGAGACGGCATTCACCAAGCTGGCCAGGTTGAACTCCTGACCTCGTGATCCGCCAGCCTCAGCCCCCAAAGTGCCGAGATTGTAGGTGTGAGACACCGCCCCTGGCCCTCCTGTCTTTTTTCGTCGTTGTTCAAGGTAAGAGTCTATATACAACCGGTTGCCTGCCTGCCCTCACTTGAGTGCCTGTTCTACTTAGGCAAATTCGGTACTGTCAAGAGAGTCTCCAGCTGAGAGTCCTCTGAGGTCTGGGAAGGAGTACCACTTTAGAGTTTACGGCCCCGCTTTCGTGAGGAGACCCTGAATTCTAAGGACTGCACCGACATTTCAAGAAATGCTGAAGAGGCCGGGCGCGGTGGCTCACGCCTGTAATCCCAGCACTTTGGGAGGCCGAGGCAGGTGGATCATGAAGTCAAGAAATCGAGACCATCCTGGCCAACACGGTGAAACCCTGTCTCTACTAAAAATACAAAAATTAGCTGGGCATGGTGGCGCACGCCTGTAATCCCAGCTGCTCAGGAGGCTGAGGCAGGAGAATTGCCTGAACCCAGGAGGCGGAGGTTGCGTTGAGCCGAGATCGCGCCATTGCACTCCTGCCTGGGTAACAAGAGCGAAACTCCGTCTCAAAAAAAAAAAAAAAAAAAAAAAAAAGAGCTGAAAAGTCTGAGTGACATTATCAGAACTCAACCCTCCGGGTTAGAAAAGCAGAATGGAGGCCTCACCCCAAGACCTATTTGACCAGAATCTGCATTTTAACAAGATCACCAGGTGATTCATATGCACATTTCTTTAATCGCCTGAGGGTCGGTGCCGAGGCAAGCAAATAGAGTACACTTGTGGATTCTTCAAATTCATTTTCTTTTATTCACAATCCCTAGTGAGCCAGGGAGGATGTGGGGTTTGGGTTGGAGGGGAAAGTGAAGTATGAAGAACAGTGGGAATCAGCAGGAGAGAAACATCTCCATTACTACTAACCTAGTTTTCTAAACCTTTTAGCACGCACACAATTTAAAGTTTATGCTGTTAGGTCCCTATTCCTCCTGGAAATAATTTGGAATTTGATCTGACTCGCCTCTCCTTTATTTTGCACCTTGAAATGTCTTCCGCTGTATTGACCTTTTCAGCTTATTAATAGAGTGATTTGACCCTAATTTCTGCTTTTTACTTAAGATTCCTTAAGATTCTTTCTCTCTCTCTCTCTCTCTCTCTCTCTCTCTCTCTCTCTCTTTTTTGAGACAGAGTCTTGCTCTTTCACCCAGGCTGGAGTGCAATGGTGTGATCTCCGCTCACCACAACTTCTGCCTCCTGGGTTCAAGTGATTCTCCTGCCTCAGCCTCCAGAGTAGCTGGGATTACAGGCGCAAGAGACCATGCCCGGCTACTTTTTTGTATTTTTTTTTTTTTGAGACGAAGTTTCGCTCTTGTTACCCAGGCTGGAGTGCAATGGCGCGATCTCGGCTCACCGCAACCTCCGCCTCCTGGGTTCAAGCAATTCTCCTGCCTCAGCCTCCTGACTAGCTGGGATTACAGGCAAGCGCCACCATGCCCAGCTACTTTTTTGTGTTTTTAGTAGAGACGGGGTTTCACCATGTTGACCGGGATGGTCTCGATCTCTCGACCTCGTGATCCACCCGCCTCGGCCTCCCAAAGTGCTGGGATTACAGGCTTGAGCCACCGCGCCTGGCCCTTTTTTGTATTTTTAGTAGAGACAGGGGTTTCACCATGTTGGCCAGGTCTTGAATTCCTGACCTTGTGATCTACCCGTCTCGGCCTCCCAAAGTGCTGGGATTACAGGCGTGAGCCACCGTGCCAGGCTAGGATTCGTTTCTATTTAGGCTTCATTTTAGAAAATGTGATGGTTTTGTTGGGCTAATAGAAGAACCTGCCACCGAAGATGCTTCTTGAAAAGGTTTAGCCATTCTTCCTCTCACAGGTAAGTATGGTTCTCTGCCCTGAGCCACATGGGTGGTGAGTGAGAGCCATGAGCCGGGGTAGGAAAAACATGGTCTTCAAAAGCACGGAGATGTAGATTTACAAACCTGGTTCCACCATAAGGAATACCTGTGACTTTTGACAAATGATTTAACGTTCTCCAAGCTCTGGATTGTGCTGTGGGAAAAGGAGGTGGTAACTAGAAGGGTTGTTGGGTTGACTGAAGAGGTAACATTTCAGTGATGCCTACACAAAGTCGGTGTTTGGAAAATGAGAAGTGCCTTTCCCTTTGGGCTTTCCTGGAACGGCCTCTGAGGAGCTATTTCAAAAGGAAGCTTAGCTGCTTCACCCGCTAGAGCAGAGGCCCTCCAACTTGCTAATAAGTCATTTTAAGGTAGGTGAGAATCCATGCTTCTTGGGTTGAT